GCGGTAGAGTTTCACCCCCGACCCGTTTTCTTAGGTGAACATTTGGAGATCTCTAGCTATTGAATGGTGTGAAGTTCTTTGCTTGGCATCATCTTCCAGGCTGCTTGCTAACCCGCATGTGATCACCAGCTGGGACAGCTGCGTGGCAATGTTGAAGCGTGTCATCACTGTATCCTACATGTCGCTGCACACTGAACTTGCGCTGGCAGCTAGTTTACCATCACGTAGCCGCAGCCCGGAGCTGCCTGTTGCCTGCATGGGATCATGCTCCAACAGCTCGTTGCACTCGTGGAACTCCTGGCTTTGGTTGCCTAAATCTGTTGCCTGCCGGGCTTAGCCTTGAGCTCCAAGGTGCGTGGGCATCTTTTTCCAGTTCAGAAGTCTGTTTCCCAACGCACGGCTGCGCTTCTCGTGTGGCCTGACGCGCGCATGGGAGGCCGGGTCTTCAGGAAAGATGCATCTAAAAGATAGCTCAAAGGATGTCGGCAGAAGTTGTGTGAATGTCCTCTGACCATCCGCTCATGCAGCCCCAACCGGACCGAGGCATGGGTTCCTCTTTGAAGCTCCCACCTCTGATCGGAAGCAGGCCGTTCTGGCAAAAAGGTGAGCAATCTGACCAGTACAGCGCTTCCCGCTCCAGACTTTAAGCTTGCAAAGCAAGCCTCCATCGACACAACTTCAGCACACAAGCTTAGATTCAGATTCAAAAAAGAGAGCGCAAAGCTGTTGATTCTGGACAGAATTGCCATCCAGAAGGGCAGTATGGACAGCACGAGGTTTGCAAGGGGAAGCTGCAGCTGCATCCTCCTTGTGGCTTGCCCGCTCCACAGCTCCTGCGGCAGGGCAAGGACAAGCAGTCAACACGCTGACTTAACACTGTCCTGAACTACGACCAAGCATCATATGTTAGTACATGTCAGTACAACAACACTCCCCGGCTCTAGGGTGCGTGATGCTCCCGGCTCCGGAGGCCTCTCTTGAAATTTTGTGCCTGTAATGCAGTGTCAAAGATTTGCATGAGACACGTTTGTGTGAGCACTCAGGCTATAACATGCGCTCAGCGTTTGAATCTTTCTGGGCCATGTGGCTGTCAAGGACGCGGCTGTAACCAACATAATTTTGGTACATCCGACTTCTGTATAGACCATTACCAGCAAGTGCCTGTGTATGTAGAGCATCTGACCAGTCATCGGGAGGGCTGGACTCGTCTCCTGCTAGTTCCAGCAGGCCCTCCAGGCAGGGTACAGGGATGCAGTGGATGCAAAAGAAGAGATGCAAAAAAGCAGGAGGCCTCATGGCGTCCCTGTGCTGGCTGCAGCTGTGGGCTGCGCCCTGGGGAGGATATCGAAGTGCTCCCCCAAGCCAATTAAGTTTGTCAAAGCTTAGGTGATCTTAGATTTGTTGGTCTTGTGCCAGATCTACTCGGCGGACGCGGCATGTTCGGCGGGTGCTACAGCCGTTTGCGATTGAACCCATCAACCCTTTCATGGCAGAGATGAAGGCTTTCGGCATTTGATGTGGTGGCTGCCTAGAGGGCTGGTGGTAGCATACGCGAAGGCCAACGTGAAGTGTCTTGCCGAGAGGGGCCTTGGCCTGTTGGACGCGAGGGCCTTGATTTAATCAACAATCGGGGTATGCAAGGCCGGCTCATTTGACCAATTTTATTGGGGCTCTATAGGATAATGGAAAAGAAATGAACATGGAAAGTATAGGGATTATAGGGGTTTTATAGGGATTATATAGGGATAATGGAAAAGAAAATGGAAACTACTCTAGTATATTAGGGTCATACAGGAAGAATGGGAAGGAAAACGGAAACTTCTTTTGCGCAGTCCGAGCCCCTATATAACCCTATATATCCCTTTAAAGGGACCTAGGGTTTCCATTTTCTTTTACATTTTTCCTATAGAGCCCCTCCTTGAACTGGAGGCTGAAGGAGCTGGGAGAGAGCTTATCTCCTGCTCGCGTCTAAGGGCGCCGGCTGCATCACATGCACTCTTCTTTGGAATGCTTGATGGGTTATATTATAACCCCTATATATATATTATATAACCCCTATATAACCCATATATAACCCCTAGATAATCCTTATATAACCCTTTCTAATCCCTATATAATCCCTACATATTGTCCTCTCCGCTCCAGGCCTCGAAGCTGCTGGGATGGAGCCCAACGAGGACAAATTGAGACGAAAGAGAGCCCATTCCCAGTCTCTCATTCCGTGAAGGAGAATCGGCAAAAGTGGCGGGAATTCTGCTACGGCACAGGCGGCCTGAAGCCGTGCGCCTTGAAGGAGAAGGTCACTCGAGAATCTCCTTTGAAGCGCTGGTGGAGGTACTGCTCCGCGGTTGTGATGGAGGAGGAAGCTCTAAAATACACCAGCGACGATGCGAGGCTGTAGTTAGTTATGCGAGGGAAACATCGACTTGGACACATGATACGCTGCTTTGCCAGGTCACTTCCTCAAATTCTCTCTGATCAGGGAGCCATCTGCTTGGCTTCTTATTCTAGAAGTTGGAGCAAGCAGTACATCCTAGCTTACTAGCCTCATGACAAGCTCAAGACCAAGGTGGTTCCAGCGGCACACCCTGCACCGTGTTCTGCTTTCATCAGACTGAAACGCTTGTGAAGATACCTGTAAAGTCAGGAGTGATCAGCAGTGATGCATTCAAACGTGCTTCTGAGCCCGCTATGCCAGATGCGAGTCGATCAGGGATTCGTGCCGCAGAGTTCTCAGCTGTTGGATTGCACAGAGTCCGACAATCAAATTAGCGGCGCTGAAGTCAGGGCAGTTGTAACACGCAGGCTGAACAGCTTCGGAGAGAAGGGTACCGAGGGTATGGCCAAAAGCCTCAGATTCTGCTCAACCCCACTCAATGCAGCCTGGACCTCACTGGTAGTGCTGGGACAGCGGAGGTCCTCCTGGAGGAAAGGTGTGAGGCCGGCTGTGTATGAGCGCCTTCAATGGCGTTCACTAGTGTTCTTTCTTTCACAGGATGGCTATAAGACCGGGGTGCGCATTGCCAAATGGCGAACGCAGTTGGAGGCAGCAGTTAGAACTTGCTAAGTGGCCCAGAGATGCCCAGAGTGCAAGTCCGCTTTCAAAAGCTCTTGGCTCTGCCAGTGCAACCTCGAGATGCCGACAGATGTTGCGGTCTGGGAGAACTCGGACTGCATTGCGCGCGCTGCGCGCATTTGTCAGGCAGCCTGTCAGTGCATGCAAAGACTCAGGATCATAGCTCAGGGCTCTGAAAACCTCCAAGCCGTTTCGCCAGGCTTGTGGGTTGGCTTTCATCGCCGAGATTCAGACGGCACAGAACACCGGGTAGCCTGGCCGGATGTAAGCCAGAGGTTGTGGAGCAGATCCCTTCCTGCAGCTCTGCTCCACATCAGGAGCCATTCATTGGAGAGGACTGCATACGTATGTGAAAAGGCCAGCTTTCTCATGAGGTTTGCAGTCTTGCACCTATGTGCATGTCGTGTCGTTTGAACGTGGCTGCAGGCACTGGCCGAAGCTTTGTCAGCCTCATAATCCACGGAACATCTGACAATCCACTTCAGCTTGATATCCTGAGCTTGATAGATGCAACATGTGAGGACCCTGTTTGTCTTCTCTCCTTTTGCAGCATACCTTGCAGCGAGTAGAGCTGCGCTGAACAAGACATCAACGTCACTTCTGACGTGCTGGCAGCTTTGATGGGCAGCCATGGCTCGCATGATTCCAGCGCTGCGCATGCGCTGCGCGTTACTTCAGAGCTGGAGCAGTCACAAGGTGGGACAAAGCGCAGTGGCGCAGTGCAGGCTGCATTTTGTGGACAGCTTGGATGCGAGGTTCCCTTGTGCCCGGCTGTGCGTTTTAGCTCCCACCGCTGGGCACAGTCAAGCGCTGGAATTCCTCCAGACATGCCCGAAAACCTGCGACAGATCATGGACGATTACGCTGCCTGGCTGGCTACAGCTACTTTGTGCTTAGCGGAATCCATGAATCCATTCTGCATGCTGTTGGCTAAGGAGCGACGAAGGGCTGAGGAAGACGCAAAGCAGTCTCTCCTCTCGCAAATCGTCAACTCTACCGCCGGTGCGGTGATAGGTGCTGCCATTGCTGGTGGCATTGTTTGGCTGCCTCTCAGCTCGCAAGCAAAGTCAGACATGTGTTGTGGTATTTCCGTTGTGCATTTTGGCAGAGGCATGTGAACAACCTCCGTGATGAGGTTTTACTGCCTGGATGACGTCTCAAGCTCCCTGCAGGGGTTGTGGGCAGTGCTTTTCAGAAGCTTGCCCTTCCTCATCTTACAGTTTCAGCTTGATGCAGCGTTTTGGCTGGAATCACGGCAGCTGAATGTTGCCTCTGCCACCGAGGAAAGCTTGGGGAAGAAAGTGCAGCTCGAGTTCTGGTGAAAGCAGCGCGTTGGCGACTGCTCCCCAGGGACTTGGACAAGGTGCCGACTTGACGCCTGCTTGGAGAAGAGCTTGCGCACACTCTTCAAGCTGTTGTCGACTCTTTGCCAGTGTCTTCTAGTGATACTACTGTACCGCCCCCGAGCCCTTGCTGGCAATTGCTGCAGCGGCTCTTGGAGCAGCGTTTTGTCCCACCAATCGTGTCCTCACGAGTTCAATCAGTAAGCACACGAAAGCTTCTCCTGTAAATTGTTGAAGCAGACCCTGCCAGCGCTGACATGACCACGTGTGCTGCATGTAGGCTGCAGGCCTGCAAGTGGTTAGTCTGGTAGTTTCTACATGAACGCAAGGAATCAAATGCATGGGATGGCAGTTCTTTGTCCTTCCGACTTTCACTCCATGTGGAGGATGATCCCTACCTGGTCATTGAGCCGCATGATGGCCTCAAGTTCTACACGCCTGTTGGGCTTGGCCCTGGGCTGGACAGAAGCGCAGAGGGCGTCGGCGCCCTTTTCGACCTGGGCTTTGGGTTTGTGGAGGCCTGGAGAGGAATCCCGTTACCGTCTGCTCTCACTGCGTTGACTGCAGGTCGGCCCCATCAGCACGAGTTCGGAGCTGGAGGCCGTGAGACGAAATCTCGAGCGACGGGATGCCAGCCGGCAAATCGCCCAGCTGGGTCTGGTGGGCGCTTCAGTCGGGGGAAGTCGAGAGGAGCTTCTGGCCCTCATGGCTTCACTGGGCCCAAAGCTGCAGTTCCTCGCTGTAGACCTCACAGCTTTAAACGGATATGGCAAGAGGGAGGAGGAGCTGGCAAAGGTGGTTAAGGAGTTGGTACTTGCAGCTATGCGGCTGCCGGGTGGTGGCCCGCGTGTCTTCTTGAGGCCTGCACTTCCTGTTTGCCGGCCTCAAGACTTGTCCTGTTGCCCTGTCTTGCAAGGCTTCCAGCCACGTGGCCACGCGCCACAGCGAGTCACGAGGTGCTACCTTGAGCTGTAGGCCAGAAAGTGCAAGTGCCCCACATCTCCAGGAACGGCGGCGTGCTGTGGCTGAAGTTGCCGAAGTGGCCAGGCACAGCGAGGCTGCAGGTCTCATCGTTTGTCGCAGCCTCATTGCGGGCACGTCAAAACGTAGCATCAACTTGTATTCAGCTCCTGCATAGCATTTCGGCTTGATGCTAGTTAAGTACGATCCAAAGTAGCGCCAAGTGGAGCCTTGTGTCCCGGAGCCATTAGGAGAGCACGTTGCGAAGGACCCAGCAAGGTGTTGGCAGACAAATTCAGGCAGAGCATCTAATTACAATCTACATTCTAGAACCGCCTGACCCACATGTTTTAGATTTTTGTGAACCTACTGATGAAGCAACACTGCACACTTGACACTTTTCGTTAGCGGCCATCCAAGAGCGCAACACTAGACTTGCAGCAGATAGCAGCAGTTGGCATTGTTGCAATGTTACCCTGCATTGCGCGCGCGCGACCTCAGCGAGGGCCTGTTGGACAGTGTGCACGCAGGTGGGGGCGCAGATCTATGAGTTTGTAGGTTTTAGCTTCATCATGAATGCTGTAGCTCGCTTCCAGCCGTCGGTTGCTATAGACGCTTGCAGCAGATGGCTTTGTAAGCATTCTCGAGGAGGAGAATACCAGCTACCGGACAAAGTTGAGCAGCTTCAGAAACTGTCAGTACTAGAGGTAGGACTAGGTGAGCGGAAACAGCTTTGCGCGTAAGTGCGCAGAAGCTACAGTTGCATTTGCGGAAGCACAAAGGGACTTGAATCTATCATCAACGTTTCCTGCAACGCAAAAGCACGGAAGGCCCGCGGAAGCTCATAACATCCGTCAGGGTTCGAAAACGCCCGCACAGAAGCGACAGTTCCTTCCACAGAAGCTTTCGCGGAAAAGTCGGTGGAAGCGATTGTTCCCGCCTGGAAACCGCACCAGGCATATGCGATTTCGACCCCACTCACGTAAGATTTGCGCGGTACTTTGGCAAAGTGGCCTTCGTGCAGGCTTGCCAGACCTTACCTCGCGATGGCCACGGTGGCCGCTGCTCCATTTGCTTTGTCCTCCCTGGCCTTCTCGAGCGAAAGGCCGCCCCCGCAGCAGCAAGCTTGCCAAGGCTTTGCCATGGTCAGCTCTTTCAATGTCAGTAGGGGTCCCAGCTTTGCAGATCCCAGTCAAAACTGTGCTGCTAAAGGTGTCCAAAGCCTCATGGCAGCCAGCTTCGGCGCTTAGCGTGCGAGGAAGGCGGCAGAGTCTTCTGCCTCTTCATGCAGCCTTGGTTCATCCGTGCTAGGCCAAACTGCAACAGCCGAACTGGGCTCCTTGCGCATCAGCTTCTGTGGCCGCCCTTCAAAAGGTGGCCTTGGTGATATTATAGTATAGTCGTCTCCATTTTGTTCTTTATTATACCCAATATAATCCAAATATACTATGGTGGGGGGTTTCAGACTCAGGCTACACTCCCATCTTCTATGACGATCCTGTGGCAAACATCGCCTCGGTGAATGCAGGCGACTACAACCTGCAGCTCGTGCTGAACAGCTAAGAAGAAAGTTGTGATATGTTAGGGTCCCTTTCCACATGTCTTATGCAAAGAGGCTGGCCAATCGCAACAAGCAAGGTACGTGGGCGGTGGATCGATCAACCTTGGCTTTGCAAAGGAGCTGGGCCTCCCTAAGACAAACGGATACCAAGAGTTGCACCAGGCCAGACTGTGAAAGACTGGTAGGTGCTGGTCCGCTTAAGGCACTTGTTTGTAGCGCACAAAGTAAGCTCAGGCAAAGTCATGCAGTGCAACTAGGGCGGAGGGTGGGCTTTGACAAAGTCAAGTACCGCAGCGACTGAGCCTCAGGCTTAGCTGCGACTTAGGCCCTTAGTTGCCGCTTTGTTTTCCTGCTGCATGGTTTGCTGTGGGCGGGCGCGAGCGGCTGTGGCTGAGTCATGAACATCTTGCCGAACAAGGCAGAGCTGCTGGGCTGTGCGAACCTGGGGGACATCCTGAGTCTTCTGGGGGTAGCCGCGCCGCTATGGAAGTCCCTCACCGACGTGATGGGCGACCCTGGCGGTGATGTTCGGCAGGTCGCAGCGCTGACCAAGTGGGCTATTGCTCAAGCAATCAGTGGCACGCAGGTGGCGCCGGGACAAGGTGCATCGGTGATCCAAGCCGCTCAGTTGGGGCTGGTGTGGCGCGCCGCAAGGAAGTACTCTTACCTGAAGGCGGGTGGCGATGAGGACATGTCCGTGGACGTGGACCCCTGAGAAACGGCAACTTCGACTGTGGCCGCTCCGTCGAAGCCGGGACAAGCTGCAGTTAAAGAAAGTGTTTTAAAGATGGCGGCCTTGGTGGACCAGACCGACGAGAGCGAGCTACTACCACCGGACAACAACCAGATCCAGACGTGGATGCAGAGATACACCCTGGTAATGGGAGGGCCTCCAGAGGAAGAAGAAGAACCGACGGCGGCTCAACTGGCTGGATTGCATAAGCGCGTCATCGTCCTGAAGCAGGCACCCTACACTGACTTCGGCGTCTGGGTGCCGTTCTGCAGGAGAGCTCTCAAGACACAGAAGTTCCGGGTTTACACCCCTTTGGGCGACGGAAGCTTCTTGATGAGGGAAATGCCGGGTCCCCAGAACTTTCAACAGTGGCAAGCATGCTGGAAAGTATTCAAGACGGTTTCGCTGATGCTTGGGATAATTTCGTTGACGGCTTTGCTTGGCTACGAGAAGATGGTGGAGCGCCTGGTGATCCAATGGCCTGCGGCATGGGGACTTATCTGCCAGGCGGAGGACAAGGCCAGGGCAGAGAGGTTGGAGAAGATCCGAAGGAACTTTGCTGCGGAAGCCGAAGCAGATGCCGGCGGAGCGGGACAGCGATGCCCCGTGGACATGCTGTCTCCAGGCGCTGACTCGTGATGAAGCGTTCTGGTCCGAACAAGTGAGACACCCAGCGGTGTCGTGGCTCGCTTCTGGAGGACGCGGTGCTCCCATTGCTCCGGCCGAAGCCATAGCGGGGGCCCACTTTCCCGGCGTGGACTTCAACAACGTGATTGCTGCCGGCGCGGGGGACAATGACAGAAAGAGACAAGCAAATCGCGACAAGAGGGCGGCTCGAAAGAGACGGCAGCAGGAGCAACGAGAAGAACTTCACAAGCTGAAGGCGGGAAAGAGATCGGAGCACCCCGAGCCGAACAACAAGAAGGGCAGCGGCAAAGGCAAGTCAAAAGATCAAGCAGGACTCCAACTTTGCTTTAGCTGGGCTTCGGGGACGGGGGCCGTGCGCGGATGTTCCAGCAGGAGGTGACTGCAAGTGTCAGGTGAAACGTGTGCACAAATGCCAGTTCTGTCTTTCACCCTCCCATCACAATGATGCTTGTCCACTCAAGTGAAAAAGTTGGTTGCTTCAGTGTCTTGTGCTTGCAGGGTTTGTGCACCAGTTGTGTTCGTGACCTTGTCCGCTGGCGGAGCTTTCTCAGTCAAGATGGCTGAGCGCGCCAGTGGTAGCACAGACCCTGAGCTCCCAGTGCTTGATGGTGACGCTGCCCCCTGGCTGCCGGACCGGATCAAGGACGTGCTGACGAATGCTTCGGACTTCGCTGCCTACAAGCGTGCCTGGGTCTTCCGATTTTTGCACTTGTTCGCTGGAAAGAACGACGTGCTGGGGAAGGCTGTGCAGGAAGAGGCTGCGAGAGCCGGGGTCCAGACAGAGATAAGGGCCGTGGACTGGAGCGGGGCCAAGGCGGAGAACCTGCTGGCGGATGAGCCCTACCTGTCATTGCTTGAGGACGTGAGGGCAGGGCAGTGTTGGCACGCAGGCCCACCATGTGGAACCTTTTCAGCTGCCCGCTGGAATGCCAGTGGACCTGGACCTCCCCCTGTGCGCAGCAAAACGGAGGTGTGCGGGCTTTCTTCCAACAGCAGCGGTCTGCAACGTCAAGCTGACGAAGGCACCGTGCTTGCGACAAGAAGTTGCACCGTGGTGGCCGAGGTCGTGAAGTCGCAGCAGGCTCGCAGAGTGCCGGAGGCAGGCTCCGTCGAAAATCCTCCAGGCACGGAGGGAGGACCGGATGCTCCGATGTGGATGCTTCCGGAAGTGATCGCTTTCGTGGGCGACCTGAACACGGTCCAGGCCGTCTTCAACACTTGCGCCTTCCAGAGCTCGTGCAGACTGAAGTGGTTCAAGCCGGGCAAGTTCGTCGGGAGACTGGACGGCCTGCAGACGCTGAGCAGAAAGTGCGGCTGCCCGGCGGGGTTTAGACACCAGCAGCTGGTCGGCAAGGAGCGAGGCCGCGGAGTACCCGGCGGAGCTGTGCATCGAGTACGCCAAGCTATTGGTCAAGGCCTGGAGGCGGACGTTGGATCTGGAATGGTGGCGGTTCCAGGTTGCCAACAAGAGGTCTGAGATCTCGGCTTTGCAGCTGAAATGGTGAGAGTCCAAGGAGAAGCAACAGCAAAAGCAGCAAGCAGGGCCGAGGACTTCGACCAAGAGATCGTGGGCGTGGACCGACTCCACCGAGCACAAGGGGCCGGACAACAAGATGACCAAGAAGAGCCAGAGGGACGAGGACAACGACTTCGCCGTAGGCGGCATGCGCAACCCATGACCGGCGGTGAAAAGGCTCAGCAAAGTGGCGGAAGTGGGCTGGGACTGCGCCAGGCTTTGGAGGAGGTTCGCCAAGGAGTTCCCGGAAGTCCTGGCGGCAGCCAAGGCGTACGGAGGCACCGCTTGCAGGTTGGAACCGCGCCTGGTCGAGGCCTGGAAGGACGAGCTCAAGGACCTTTGCTTGCCATTGCTCAGCGGAATTTTGGAATTTTTTTTTGCTCGGAAATTTTTTTCCGAAATTATCTTTGGGCTTCTTTGAAGTTAATGTGATCCCCTCGGGTTTGCAGCAAAACCGAGAAACAAAGGAGACGGCCTATCATTCCATCATTCCGTGACATGTCATGCGTTTGATGACACCAATGAACGACACTGTGGCTCTTTT